CCAAGCGCTGGAGGTCTTACCACCTGCCCTCGCGAGAATTGGCTGGCAAGGTAATTTTCCAGCTGTTTCCAGAGAGGGGCGTAAGAATAGACCTTAATATCTCTTTCCTGCTTGCCTTCCATTACAGAGCCAGAGGAGATCAAAGATTAATAGGAAGTTACATTTCCCATCACAGACGTGCTCAGAGGGCAGTGTCAAGCAGCATTCCAGCCCAAATCGACTTCCAGTGGGCCAGAGGGTGCTGCCCCGGGTGGCGGGCGGTGAGGGATCCTTTGGGTTTCTGGTTTTGCTCTCGCTGAGTTCAGTGAGTGTGGTCAGCAAACTTTTTATTATGGTGAATTTCTAACATCCAGAGAGAGGACAGTACAGTGAACTCCATTCAACAGTGTCCAACTCACAGCCAATTTATTTCAATTGTGCCTCCACCCACGCCTCCCGCCCCATAACCACTTAAAGCAGCAACTGGTCTGTGTCATTTACCGCTGAGTACTCCACTGTGTCTCTCCAAAATATCTTTCAAACAACCTCATATCCCCATCAGTGTGGCTCAGTAGTTGAGTGCTGACCTATGAACCAGGAGATCATGGTTCGATTACCTGTCAGGGTTGCAGGTTCAATCCCCAGTGGGGGACATGCTGGTGGCAGCCAATCAGTGACTTATTTCTCATCATTGATGTTTCTCTTCCTCCTTCTTCTTTCCTCTGTGAAATCAATAAATATATATATTAAAAAAAAAAATCCTCACAGTGTCATCATTACATCTAAGGTTAACACTCACATCATATCATTAAATATCCAGTCAGCATTTAGACCTTCCCAGTTGTCTCATATTTGTAGTTTGTATATTGGAATGAAACAGTATTTTGGTAGAAATTAACTTTTTACAATGCTATGGAGGTATAAACTGATGCAGTAAGTAGACTTCACATATTTAAAATGTGAAATTTGATGGGTTTTGTGGAATGTCTATATCTGGGAGGCCATTGTGATCCAGAGAATGAGCGAGTCCATTGCCCTCACTGGTTCTGGTACCCTGTCACTGCCTCCTTCCAGCCTCACGCTGGGCAGCCAGTAGCTTGCTTTCTGTCAGTCACTGTCCGTCATTTTGCATTGTCTAGCGTTCCATGTAAGTGGGATCAAACAGCGCACTCTTTGTGGCCTGATCGCCTTCCCTCAGCTTGATTCTGCTTCCGTGTGGTCAGAAAACAGAGTCCTTATGGCTCCATCTTTCAGAGTCCATTAGGGCTTGTTTACGGCCCAGCACAGGCCTTTCTCAGAGAGAAACCTTGGAAGAGTGGGTTGACCGTTTCTTCTGTGTCTTGGCTGACTGTGTGCCTGTGCATGTGTGTGTGCGTGTTTCTGTTTTCAGCCACACGCATATGTATGGTTGTGCCATCTGTCTTGTAGCCCTTCATCTCACTAATGTGGCCACACCAGCCTTCCTCTCCTCCCATGCACGCTGCCTCTTTGCTGCCCGTGACTTTGGTCTGTCCATGTCTCTGCTGGAGGTCTGCCTCTGAAGGCGGCAGTGCTTCAGGGCTGTGCTCCCTGCACTGTCACTCCCCGCCTGAGACTGCAGTGTCTAGCCAGCCTTGTCTGGCACAGCAGAGCTTTCTCTGGTGGTGGGAATGTTCGGTTTCTGTGCTGTCTAGCATCGTAGCCACTGGCCACATGTGGCTGTTGACTACTTGGAATGTGACTAATGCTGAATTTTAAAGGTCTTTAATTTTAATTAGCTTAAGCAGCCCCCTGGGACCCGAGGCTGCCTTTCTGCACAGCGTAGTCCAGACCACTGACATGGAATCTGGGTCTACCACGTCATTGCTGCTCTCTGTTCATACCCTCTGCTTTTTGTTCCTTTGTTTCCCCTTTCCTTGTGGATTATTTTGATTTCTTTGCATTCCATTTTAATTTTTCTATTGGCTTTTAAAACATTTTTTAAGTGGTTGACCTAGATTTATGATCTATGGGTCTAAATGTTTGAGTTGACATTATACTGCTTCATGTAAGTGTAGAAATCTTGAAATCGAATGACACGTGTATGATGTCAGTGTATATTGAAAATTTCAGTAGACAGTATTATGGGTCAGCAACCTACCCCTCACCCCAAGCCAAACCCTGGATGCTGCCTGGTTTGGAATTAAGTTCTATTGGTGCGTGGCTATGCCCACTCCTGTAGCCTCCTCTGGCTGCTCATGTCCATACTGGCAGAGTGGATCTGTTCCCACGAAGACATTGTGGCCACAAATCTTAAAACATTGATCTGGTTCAGAGAAAGTGTTTGCCCAGCCCTGCTCTCACAGATTCCTCATAAAGGGCTGACGGAGATGGCATTTCCTAGGTTTTTGTATATTGAAAACTGTTTTTCTGTGATTTTGATATTTGAAGGATACTTGGCAAAATAGATAATCCTTGGCTTATGCTTTATTTCATTGAGATTTTCAAAAAAGGTTCTTACATTGCTGCCTTTATTTATGTTGGTTTTGACAAGTCTGGTGCCAATCTGTTTTTTATTTTATTTTAATACTAACTGATCTTTGTCCCTAGGGACCTTGAGGATTGTATCCTTATTTTTGAAATCTCATGATCTGACTGGGATTGGCTTGAGCTGATGGTTTGAGGTTAGTTTTCTTAGGTGCCACTGAGCCCTTTCATTGTGTAAGTTCAGTTTTTTTCTATTTGGAAAGTTTTCTTGGATTATAATTTTAAATATTAGTTCTGGTCCCCTTTTGGTCTCTCTCCGGGGACTTTGATGATGGGAATGTTCTTCTTTGCTCACCTTCGTTTTCATGTCTTTCTCTCCCACTTTTTTGTTGTCATCTTGACTCTCTTGGTTGGCCTTTCTGGCCTCAGTGCCATTGTAAATATCCCTCTAGTCCATTCTCCCCTGAGCACTTTTTCTCCGGGATGATTTTGTCTTTTTCTTTTGTTTCTTCTCTCGGGTTAATCAGCACTCTTTCTCTCCCAACCAACGCCCTCCCCCACCTCACCCTCCCTTCCAATTTCTATTTTAGTTTTGAGTTTCTGATTTTAGTTTTTCATTTTCCCAAATGCTTGTTTGAACACATGTAATTCAGTTTGCAGTGTAGGCTTGTAATTCCAGTCTGCTTCGTGATTCTTTTTCTGGGTGGAGCCCCTCCCTTGGTTTATGTGTGTAAATTCTTTCTTACCTTTTGCAACAGCTTTGTAGGGACTTATTGAACTTCTCTCCCTTCATTTTACTGCCATGAGAATGTTTTATGGGATTCTTGGTTAAACAGCACCCTCTTCTGTCTGTCCAGCTCGTCCAAGTACGCTAGGAGACCTCCATCTAGTGTGTCTGTCTTGGTGGTGACTTGAGGTCCTCCTCTGTCTTGCAGTCCATTTCCTCCTTTCTGTCGTTTCTCCTCTGTGCCCAGTTGCCCACAGCTGCCTCTCCCCGTCTGGTCTCTTTCCTTCCCTAGATCCGTGTCTTGCCCATGCCCAGCATTCTCTTCCCTGTGGATGTGTGATGACCTAAGGCTTCCCCTTGTTTTCAGACCCCAGGCTTTCTGGCCACCCTCCAAGTCAGCCTCAGGGCCTCTCCGCACGTCTGGGTGCCAATGTTGCAAGTCTGTGATGTCACGTAAGGTGCTCTTACTGCCATGGGAACGCCTGCCGGGCTTTTGTGATCTCTGCTGTTGGTAGCGCTCGGTGTTGCTCTCCTCGGTCTAGCCAGGGGTGACCGTCCCATCCCGTCCAGAACCACTCTGGCCTGCTGGCCCTGACGTTGGATCTGTTTCTGCCCCGCTGCTGTCCATCCTCAGTGTTTCCTTCCTTTCTTCTTCTGGGTTTATTTGCTGCTGTCTGTCTGGTGGCAGCTCTGGGTGGGGGTGGCAGGCCACGGGCTGTGGGCTCTGGAGAGAGTGGGACTTCCCTGCTGGGTGTGGCTTCTCTGAGGGTTGCTGGGTGTGCTGCCTCACCTCCTCTGCCGCCTAGTGTCCTTGCTGTGAAATCCCTGTGGCCCCCACTTACAGGCCCCTCCTGACTTCTAGGTAGCCCTCTCCCCCGCACCCTGGGGACTGAGCAAAGCCCTTTGGTGGCTGGTGTAGCAAAGCTACCTTATCACCTTAACAGTGGCCCCATTGGTGACGCTCCGCCTCCGGTGCTCCAGGGCAGGGCTGGCGAGTGCCTTGTCTCCTCTGTGAGCAACACCTCCCCCCAGGACCTGTGGGTCACCCAGCTGCTGAGTGAGCCTCCAGGGGGACCACTCTGAGATGCCCACCATGTCTGTACGTGTCACCCAACCTCCCAGTGTGGTTAGCTGCAGGGGGTCAGATGCAGTTTTGTGTTATGACCCAGGAGCTGTCGGAAGCCCTATTGCAGACGTGGAGCCATTTGTCCTGCCAGCCCCCTTCCTCACAGACGTGTGCAACCCCTGGTGGTGTATAGAAGAGGGTCTGTTCAGCCAGTGCTGGCAGAGCCAGATACAAACACCAAGGACTGTAGTGGAGAAACATTGGCGACTTCCTTATGAATGGCGCCATCCAGAACGGAAGCCAATGCTCGAAGCCCAAACTCCCCGATGGCGTGTAGGTTACAATGATACAGGGCAAAGTCGCAAGACATGGGCTGAGGGGTTGACGTCGTGCTGGGAGCTGATTGTTCAGAGGGGGTGATGAATTACCTCTTCAGGTCTCAAGGGCAGCTTTAAGTCACTGCATCTAGTGCCCCAGTGACCCTCTGTCCCAGCTCGTGGGAAAGTAGCCAGGGGCGTTTCACCTGAGGGCTCAGGAGCTGCCACGTAAGTCAGGTCCAGATGTTATCATCAGCATGCAGAGGTCCGGACCCTGCGACCAGTAGCCAGGTCCAGGCTTCTGTCTTCTGCTGCCTCGGGCATTGCTCATTATTCGGAGGAAAGACTGGATCTCTGAGGGGTGTGTATATATAGAGAGATGATTCCTAGAGCTGGGACCGAAAACTAAATTTAAAGTCACAGGGACCCTCAGTTTCAACGGCCCTGTCCTGTGCTTCCTCCCCAGGTCGTCCATGCCCACAAGCCGCACTTTATGGCCCTGCACTGCCAGGAGTTCGGGGGAAAGAACTATGAAGCCTCCATGTCACACGTGGACAAGTTCGTCAAGTAAGTCTGGCGCATGCCATGGCCTGCTACCTCCCAGGGCAGGGTGCTCGTGCTTTCTATGGAAACATGGGTGTAGCCTCACCGTGGAGAAGGCCTGTGGGTGAGCCAGTTTTCGAAAGAGAAAAAGTATGGCCCAAGTGTGTGACAGCATGCCTCCTGGGGGAGGGGGGGGCCCAAGAGGGTGGCAGGGTGCCTCCTGTGGGAAACGCAGGGTGACAAGGTGCCTCCTGGGGGGGAGCCAGAGGGTTACTGTGATGCCTTGGGCTCTGAGACATTAGCCCTGGGTTCCAGTCAGGGGTCCCATCCACGTGTGCCAGAGGTTACACCTTGTGTGGTCTGATGGCTGCCAGCCTGCTGCTGCTGAGGATGGACAGACAGGACCGATTTTCATCTAGCAGCTCACAGCTACACTTGTCACAGTAAGGGGGACAGAGCCCATTGTCTGGGGGAGGAAGGAGCCAGCAGCACGTGTGCATACCCTGTGGCCCCATAGAAGGTGTAAGAAGTATGGCCTACCAAAAAAAAAAAAAAAAAAAAAAAAAAAGATACATTGCACCACGTTCAATTTAAAAGCTTTATCAAAAGGTACTCTAAAAATAAAGTTTTAGCCACATTTGGGGAAAGATATCTGCAACACACTTTCCTGACAAAAATTAGTATTAGATATATAAAGAAGCTCTGTGTGTCATAGGCAAACCCACCCCTTGGGAGAGCGAGGCATTTCACAGAGAACAGGACATTTCACGTGGGGGAGGGCCGGCAGGTGAGCAGCAGGTGTCAGCACGTCCGGGAGCTCCAGTGGCCGGTCACACGGCACCTTTCGTCCCTGGCGGCCTGTGCTGTGGGCAGAGAGGTTTTCACAGAGGACACACTGGCAGGATTTTGCTTTAAATAGTTAACATCGCTTATGTTTACCAGTCCACCTGCCGTTTGCAGCACTCTGTGGAGATCCAGGTTTCTACCTGGTACCGTATTCCTTCAGCCTGGGGACTTCTCTGTCACCTTTAGCACAGATCCCCCATGAATTCTCTCAGCTTTTGTTTTCTGAGAAAAAGTCTTTGTCTTCATGTTTGAATGATGTTTTTGTTGTAAACAGAGTCCCGGTCTCTCTGTAGAGACTCTGGAATTTGCTCTTGCTGCGAGTCAAGGTCTGAGGATCATTGTGGTTCTTTCCAGGCTTATCCTCTCCCTATCCTGACCAATCCGCCGGCTGTCACATGGTGCCTGTGTCCTTCTCCACCTCCCCTCCCCTGCGGTCATGGGGGCCAGACCAATGAGCAAATCCTCGCTTTCTGTCACCATCCCGGTGTATTCTCAAACCTCTAGTGCAGTGGCTCCTGTTCCAGCCCATTTACAGAGATGACAGAGGTCACTTAGACTAGACTCTTCTAGGTTTTAGTTCCTGCCTTCCTCCCTTTTTCTCTCTTCCCTCTCTCTCCTTTTCCACTGTCTGTCCCCCCTCCTCTTCCCAACCTGGTTGGTGGTATCTCCAGGTGATGTCCAGGCCAGCATCCTGGGCCTCGGCAGCACACCTGTAAGTGGTGAGGTGTCTGTGTGACTCTTGACTAAAGAACTCTTTTCCTTCCAGAGAACTTCTGTCAAGCGATGCGATGAAGGAATATAACAGGGCTCGTGTCTACCTGGACGAGAACTACAGGTCCCAGGAGCACTTCACGGTAAGTGCCTCTGCCCCAGGGGAGCGCCTGCCAAAGCAGCCCTCCTCATTCGGCGGCCTTCTCTCCCTCACAGCATCCTGCCATCTACCTGCATTGAAATGTTACAGCCGTGCTGCAGCCTTTGTGGGGTGCCCCTAACTCAGCAAATCTATGGGGGATGTAGAGGGTGCACAGTGCAGGTAGCACCTCAGCTGCTTCCTCAAGTTGCCCTTGATGGGCTGCTCATCAGTTGGCACAGACAAGGCCCACATGGCAGCTGGAAGGTGGACAGCAAGGATGGAGGCCAGGGCCCTGGTGTGCAGGAAATGAGAGGGAGGATTAAGGTTCTGGCTTACAGGTGAGGGCTTCATCCCATGCCTGGTCTTCTGGGCCCAGCTGCCTGTGCCACAGGCTTGCTCCAAGCTCTGCCAGTCCCTTTGAGTAACTAAGACTCTGTCTGGAGCTCATCCCATACCTGGCACAGGGAGAGGTTTGCCTTTGTCATCCCATCTCATGACCAGGAGGGGAGCAGTTTGTGGTGAATCTCTGCTTGACCCTGGGCCCTGCCTGGAGTGCTGTCCCCTTCATACCTGTTCATCACCCTCCATGTGTCACGTGTGGAACCGTATTTGCTGGGGGCCTCTGGACATCTGCTGGGGGGATCTTGCACCCCCGTGTCGTGGGCAGGGTTGAGCAGCACTGTCAGCCAAGAAGCCACCCTTCTGCCACAGCCTGGTGGCCTCGGGCTGTCAGAGGGAAGAAAATTTAATTTTTCAAGATTAATGGTATTGGAGCAATATTTTTAGCTGAGTGTGGTTCAAATAATAGGCCATTAATTGAAAAAGGAAATTGAAATGAATTTATCTTGTACATAAATGCTGTCACAGGTATTAATAGGGATCAGAAAATAGTGGCCTGTTCCCAGAAAGATGTTGAACCTGACGTGGCACCTGGTGCAGGAACATGACGGTGGGGGTTGCTGTGCGCACAGGAACATGGGCAGGGGTGGAGGGGGGAGCTTCAGCCTGTGGGGGCTTCGGGCCTGGGAGGGTCTTCCACCTAGAGGGTCTACTGGCAGAGGCAGGAAGCGGCAGACGTCCTCCTTCACCAGCAGATGGCGCCAAAGCAGCATTTCGTATCCTGAGATTTTGATATAGGAGGTGCTAAGCAGCCAATTTTTAGACTTAAAAATTTTTACGTTAAATTTTGTTTGCTCCCCAAAAGCATCCTGAGTGGGCATTTACTGGATCAGGATCCTTGTCTAGTCTAGAGGGTTGAGAAGACAGACTGGCCTCCACTGGCTCTCTCCTGGCTGTCCCGGGCCTTGCTTGCAGGGTCATCGGCTGCTGTACTTTCCACTGGAACGTTGAGAGTTGGAGGTCTGTTCCTTCAGAGGAACTGCCAGTCTGGAGTGTTGACATGGGCCCTGAGAAGCCGGGCCCTGTCCTGTTCTTGCATGATGGACTTGTTTAAATGTCCACCTCAGGGTGGACTGAGAACCCTGGCCCATGCGTCTACACAGCCAGGAGTAGGAGCTCAAACACTGTGCCCAGGGCCCCCAAGTGCCCCAGGCCCTTTCCTCCTGGTAGCGGCCCAGATGTGCCAGTGTCAACGTCCTGATTTCTGTCTTTCTTCCTGAGCTCAGACCCCTGGAGCAGCAGTTTCGCTTGTCCCTGCTCTGGCCCGGAGCCTGGAGTCAGCACATCTTGGCTGCTCAGTAACCGCGTCTGAGCCAGTGAGCCAGTGTGTGTTAGATGTGCACAACCCAGGCTCTCCCTGCAAGGGTCAAGGGCCATGATGTCCCAGCACAGCTCAGTGGAGAGTGCCTGCCTATGGCAGAATTTGAGGCCATCGGTGTATATCTGTATCTAAGGCCATGGATTGGGTGATATCCCACTGGTGTGGGCTGCAGGGAGGTCCAAGTCTGGGGCCTTCTCAATTTGGAAATTGGGAAGAAAAGGTGGGTTTATCAGGGGAGGTGAGAGAAGGTGGGGACAGGGGTGAGCTGGAACCCATGAGGCAGTGAAGAAAGGTCGCAGGGGAAGGTGACTGCATTTCTATGGCCGTGGCACCACCTCCTATGCCCCATCCCTTGCCAGAGGACTGGAAAAGGAGGACTGGCACCCAGCTGAGGAGGGGCTGTCCCTGGGTGAGCATGAGCAGGTACCCTGGATGGCCTTTTCCCGGTGGGATCAACTGCTCTCCACAATCCAGAATCCAATGCTCAGAGTGCTGGCAGGTTTTCACTCTCAGCACCACACTAATGTTTCTGTATTTGCCCCTAAAGCCCATGAAGTTCCAGTTTTCATCACCAGCAAGTCTTATGGCCCCGGTATCTTCCATGGGAATAGACGTTAGGTGGTAGATATGCATGGATTTAGCAATCAAGTTCGTGTGGAAGTGTGTTGACAGTTGGTCATGTGACATGATTCTGGGACTGTCGGGGCAATGACTCGTACAAAAACACTTGATAGAGATCTTCCCATTACAAGGACAGGCTCCAAGTGGCGAGGGGAGAAAGGTACTTTCCTTAGGAGGTGCCAGCCCCCCAGGGTGGACAGCTCTGGGGGTACCAGTTCCAGAGCACAAGGAGGTGTTGGGGGATTCCACCCAAGGGCATCCAGGGACTGCCCCATGGCCCTGTCAGGCGAGTTGAGTGTAGCTTAGGGAGGACGCTCCAGGAGGAGACACTAAGCTCTGTGCCCGTACGGGGGACCCCCATACTGCCTGAGTTATACTGTCACAGAGGCCCCGACACCCCCAAATGCTGTCCCAGAACTCCCTGCTTCCTGGCACCTGCCTATCATCGGACCCTTGGAAAATGCTTTCCACCAAAGCCTTTGGGGTTCACCTCCTGGGAAATGAACTCCCTGCGAGGCCTCTGGTGGCTGCTGTTGTCACAGGTGTTACCTGGTTGACTTCACAGCGCCCTGGGGCCCACGGGCCTTGACACTGAGCAAATGCCCGAGCAGTTTTCCAAGGCTTCCAAGTGTCTATTGATCCGAGGCGGCGAGCCCGGGAGTCACGTGTCTAATTTCACAGGCACGCCGAGGAGCATGGAAAACACATCACTTATTGCCCGCAAAGCCGGGACGTCGATAGGGGACGGCTTTCCTATACTCTGGCTTCAGCGGCGGCTAAATGAGGAAGAAATTGCAGATTTGTTTCCATATAATATCCTGTTGTCTGTTTCCTGCAGGAGTAAAGCATCTGGCGTGAGGGGCCCCTACTGTTCCCACTGGTCGTTTGTGTGGCCGCAGGCGCTGTTTATGGGTGATTCACAGGGCTGCTGGGGCTGCTGAAGGCCCCAAGGAAGCACGGCAGGGGCTGCCCATCTGCCCCTCACTTGGTGGCCCTGTCTTCCCGTCACCTGGTGACCGGTGAGGAAAGGATGGGAGGAGGAGGAGGAGTTTCCTGGCAAGATATATAGGTTGGCATGGGGATCCCAACACACAGTATCAGAGGGGCCTCCTGAGGAGCTGTGGGCTGATGCAAGTATCCCAAAGGTCCCCTTTTATTGGGGACAGTGGTGGTGCTGGTAGGACTAGGTGAGCATGCTTGTCCGGCACCTTATCTCTGGGAAGATCAGCTCAGCGGTAGACAGAACAGGCCCTTTCTCCATGGAGAAGCTAGAGGCCAAGGAATCCAGCCTGAAGCCGCTCTGGTTCGCGCACAGCAGGACCCACAGAACCTACTGAACCCCCTCACACTCCATGGCTGGCCAGGAAGCGTGAGGGCAGCCACTCGCCTCAGAGGGCAGGTGGCAGAGACTGTCCCTGTGTGGCCTGAACAGGGCTGCCCATTGCTGTGGCCTCACGCCTCCCACAGCGGCGTCTGTTGTGGGACAGGCCTGTTTGGCCACTGCCTTCACCAGTCCTTGTTCGTTTAACTGTTGGCCGCACAAGTGTCTGTGTAGCAGCTGGAATGGTGCACTGTGATTGGTTGAACCAACTTGGCAGCCCTTGGGGCAGGAAGTGCAATCAGGACGGCTGGCAGAGGCTGTCCTTGCTGTTGGCTCCGGACTGGTGCCTTTGCAGCCAGCAAGGCGAGGAGGGAACCCTCTCGTGGAGTAGAACTTGTTTAGGGTGTGAAAGCTCTCCAGCAAGCACTGGTAGCTGGTGGGCACTCAGCCCCTTGGATCCTCTGTGTGCATCGAGGAAATGTCCTTGGTGACCACAGGGTTGCCTGAATACATGGCGTTCAGACCTCCCCTCAAAGCTCTGAAGTGGGGTTCCGTCTGGGCAGAGGGGCCTGAAGCCAGAGACGGGTCAGATCCGTCAGCGCCTGAAATGCAGCCGCATCCAGGGATGAGGGCTGAGATGTCTCCGGTGCCCTGTGTCCACGCTTTGTCCTCTGCCTTCCAGCTGCCCAGCCAGCACCTTTATCTCTTCCATAATTTGCTCTCAGGAAAGAGGCAACAGGTGAGCTTTATCTTCTGTGAGGGGAGAAGAATGGCTAACCCAGAAATTCATGGGCATGAACTTGAGAGACATCAAGATTTCCCAGGGGTGCAGCCTCACTCATCTGCGGTGACATGGGAGCCAGGGAGGAGGAGGCATGCTCTCTGACTGTCAGGTGCTGCTCTGAGCCTCCCCAGGAAGCACGTCCCCTTCCCTGCCCAGAGCATCGCTTTGCAAACTTACCCTACCCAGCAGGGTCCCATTCCCAGCAGTGGGATGATGATCCTCCCTGTGGTCAGACGGTGCAGCCCTGGCACCAGGAACCTCAGTCTAGGCTGGAGGGTCGATCCTCACCCAGAAGGAGCCGTGTGCCTGCACCTCCCACTCCATGTCCATGCTGGTGGCTCCTGGGCCCAAGATGCCTTAACTGCTGGTCACCAATAAACCGGCCTCCCCCACCCCCTTTTGCCTTTTGCATTGCCCTGATGAGGGTCCCTACTGGCCCTGGCAGTCGGTTCTCCAAGAGGGCCGGGCTTCCCTCTGAGAGCAGGGCATCTGCTGGATGGTTACCCGGGGTGGCTGCTGGGGTTCTGCCCCTCATGCCCACGGTGGGGGGACAGC